AATTTATTCCATACATTTGCATCATACTGTATAACAGATTACCAACGACAATGTACTCCAGCAGATAAGTTAACAAAAATACCTATTGAACACCATGAAAGCAAGACCACTGATCGACAAAGAAAATTCAGAGAAAAGGAGGCGCTTTAAGAAGTACTAAGATAGTCTCCTTCTTAGGTGATACAATTATTTCAAAGGTTTATCTATTTGTCTTCACTTGATCCAAATCTCTTCATCTAGAAGATTGTTTTGAGATCTATGAGCAGCTGATAATTGCTAAAACACAATTCTAAAAATGAAGTAATTTGGAGTGCAATTTATATACGTTCTTTACCGTTGGATTCGATTTGTTACATAATGCGTTAACTTAACGAAAAAAGATTTTCGTTAAGTTAACGCAAATTTCTTAGTTATTTGGCTTCAAAAGCGCAAATTACGCTATATAAAATCCTTTACGATGATTCTCCAAATGATCATGCACTTCCAAATCGAGTATGAATGAGAAATTCCTCGTTTTATGACACATATGCTGATGATATAGCGTTACAAGAAAACACATTAAATATTAAAAATTGAAAGAGTGTCTTCAGGTTTGAGGTAGGTTACCATCGGAGTAATTCAACAGATATTCTGAGCTGATTTGTTGTGTTGAATGAAACTTCAATTTACCACTTTATTTTTGATAATTTTAACAAAGGAAATTGAACTGCACCGATTAAAACGATTGAGATTTTGAAGTAATTTTTTTAATTCTTACCAGAGTATCTCTCCAGAGCATCATTTTGGACAATTGAATGAAAAAAAAAAACAGACAGAACGGACCTGTTTCAAAAAAGAAAAATAATCTTTCACTGGGACAGTGGGTTATAAACAAAAATTTCTTTGACAATGTGAAAATTGGGTCATTTAAAGTACATAATATGGTTGGAAGATGCTTCTTATTCGCCATATTTAGCTTTTGGTGACTTCAGTTATACCCAAAACTTGGTCTTTCATTTGATAAATTTATCAAAAGTAAATTAGTTAATTAGAGTTTCATTCAACACAACAAATCTGCGCGAATAATCTGTTGAATTGTTCAAATGACAACCTTCCTCAAGCCTGAAGTCACTCTTTTAGTCTTTGATATAATTTGTTTACATCATCAGCATACATTAAACAACGAAGAATGTCTCATTACGATCAATTGACCACGAAGACTTTTCATCAACCAGTGGCAATTTGTATCTTATGTAGTGTGTTAATTCTTCTTTTGTACATACTTCCCTCATTATTGGACTTGAATCTACTATGCACAACAATTAGAAATTTGTGCCTGAAAAATGTTTTGATTTATTAGAATTGTTTCAAACTCTACAAAGAAATATCTTAATTTTTTTGTCGATTATCGTGGTCTATAGTAGATTCAATGAAGGAAGCATGGGCAAAAGAAGAATTAACACACCACATAAGATACAAATTGCCACTGGTTGATGAAAAGTCTTCATGGTCAATTGATCTTAATGAGACATTCTTCGTTGTTTAATGTATGCTGATGATGTAAACAAATTATATCAAAGACTAAAAGAGTGACTTCAGGCTTAAGGAAGGTTGCCATTCGAACAATTCAACAAATTATTAACGCAGATTTGTTGTGTTGAATGAAACTCTAATTAACCACTTTACTTTTGATAAATTTAACAAATAAAAGACAACTGCGCCGATTAGAACGACCAAAGCAACTTTTGCGACTTTAAAGTTAGTTTTTTAATAGACTTCTTACCAGAGGATCCTAAAATAATTGGAGAATACTGTAGAGAACTTTTTTTTGGTCAGCTGATTGAAAAAACAGACCGAACGGACCTGTTTCAAAAAATAAAAATAATCTTCGATGAGAACAGTGTATTAGCAAAGAAAAGCTGTTTGGTAATGAGACAATTGGTGCACTTAAATTATGTATGGTTGGAATATCCTTCTTACTGGCCAGACTTACCTCTTGGTGACTTCAGTTATTTCCAAAAACTTTTTTTTTTACAATAATTTGAAATATGTGTCTAAAAAGGGTTTTGAATCAAATGAAGCAGATCCACGAATATTGAACTGTACAAAGATTGCAGATATAAACAGTGCCATTTTCACATAAAAATGTCACTTTTCACTAATAAACGAGAATTTTTCGCGCGATCCACATATAATGGCATTTTAATCTCAATAATTGAAATAATTTGGCAATTATTAATTACAGTATTTCACGGTTTGTTTACTTACTTCAAGATATTTAGATGACATATTGAAATACGAGTAGAACTTCCAGAAGAATATTGTTTCTATGAATAGTATCTCAATGATGTGTATTTCGCACTTAACTTACAAAACCTATTAAACATGATTTGAAGATGTCCTTGCAATTTAATATTTTAAATACGTACACACCTAATAGGTAACCAATTATATTACTGTGCAACTAACCTTCATAGACACAACTCATAATATGCTTTTAGAAAAATTAATAGCAGAATCCACACATCGATCATATTTTACTATTAGATCACAAATATTTAATCGTCAAAAAATCACTATTCGACACTACATAGTTTCTCTCGCCATTGCTTCTGATGTGTGTCATCGAAATTAAACAAAAGAGTGTTGTTACACAATATCACAACATAATATTTAGGTATTAAAAAAATTAAAATACGAGGCTTGTTCATAAAATTGGACCTCAGAGTCGATGAAAACTTTTATGTGCGATCTGACAACACCGGAACGTATCACTAGGCCCCTGTCCTCCTTTTTAAATACAATTTGTAAGGGCTACAATTCTGTAAGGGCTATGAATGAATGGCTAGTCTTAGCTGGAGCTTAGGTGGAGCTACTCACCGCTCCCACTAGATATCAGATGGGTTAAAGTAATTCGTTTTAGTGTGCTATGGAGTTATGGGCACTAACCTCATAGAAACTTGTCCGAAATTACAGCAAAGGGTTTAAATATGGAGGAGCACGAGGAGTGGTGCCCGGGAAACCTTCAGTTTCAAACGAAACTGTAACCTCTTTAATGGCAGAGTGGAGGTTACCCAGGGAACTGCACTAGGCTCGGGCTTCAGTCTGGTAGAGGTATCTAGGTCGGGTTATAATCACGCGAGAATAAAGTAAACCGTGAGAGAAAAGTTATTATGATTACGCGGTACACACATATTTCGCCACATATACATTGTCTATATAATAAATCAGATCGTAATATCAATCAATAACAATGTCTGAAAGAGATACACCACGCACATAAAATAAATATATATATATATATATATATATATATATATATATATATATATCCGGTTTTTTAGGCGTTACGCCCGTCCGGTAGGGATCTATGAAGGAGTATCACCAAGCCCTTATCTCTTGCCGTACTGCTCCACCATAGGCCGATCAGATCCCAGCATATCCTAGTCTAAGCCGCAGATTCATCTAGAATTTTAAACTGCTGCGTTAGACTTTTTGTTTTCAGTACACCGAGCTGGAGCTCGAACCCACATCCACTGAACCATTCGACAGTGAAGCGAATGAGAGGCAGCCGCACAGTCCGCTGAGCTATCTGACCGACTTTGAACTTACAGTATTGTACTTACAGTCGGCGGCAGATAGTCACAGGTAAAGACGTTCTTTCATGGAACGGTCGCCGATTAAGGCACTTGACAGGTTGCACTCGCAACAGGTATATTGGGACTTCTCAAGCAGGGTAGATGATTTAAGTAAGGTAACGAATTACGGTGGATTCAATCAGCCATCAATCATCAAATTATTGTAAGTACAGGTAATACATAATGTCAATCCTCACACTAGACTAGACTGGAATTGAATAGACTGAACCGAATGGATGGAGGAAGAAAGCGGCAAACAAAAATGACCCAGTGTCATCGAATTGGAAGACGTCGCCGTTTGATGAACACAACCGCATGCAACAGAAACCACAACGAAAAATGAACTCGATTTTCAATATTCAGATCAGTTAGGGATAAAAAAAGAGTGGGAGCATTTGTTGAAGAGTGCCAAGCGAAAATGGTACTTAATTGACAAGTCCGGTGTGGCCTTATTTTCTATAACTGCTGTCTCTCGACAGTAAAGATTATTTCATAGAAGACCAATATCTCAGCGTTTCTTAGAAAGTAAGCTGGGATGTTCGACAATAGCAACTAACTTTGTTAAGAGGAAGGGTTTCTATTTAAGAAACGAAAGATAATAAGAGCAAGGACGACGTACTGCGAGCTATTTCGTTGTCGTGAACAGGCATGACAAATCGCTCGTTGCTTATGGGTTATTTTTAAGGCTTCTAGCAAAGTTTATACCATGAGTAGCGTGAAAGTAATTTTCTAAGACGAATAATTAAGCAAATTTTAAAAATGCATCAAAACAATTTGGTTAATTGAGTGCGCTTTGCTTAAAGATATACTGATGATGATTTCAGAGTTGTATCAATGGTTCAGGATGTTAGTTCGATGCAATTGGCAAGACATTGACAAAACAATATCTGCTATATCACAAGCCGTGAACCAAAAGCGACATGTAGAAACAGTACACAGCGGTAGATGAGAAAATAGAAGAATATCATAAAATGTACAACATATTAATAAAGGGAAATTCATCTTTTTCTTAATACTGAAGGTTTTCTCTAACAAATAAGACAAATTCATAAGTTGAGGTCTGGGGAAAAAACGAAAAAAGCGCAAGGTCGCAGAATTGTTTTTATCATTGCCACGCAATACCAATTCATGTGAAATTTGATGTAAGTTCTATGAGACTCGTTTACGAAAATCGCCACACCGCCTGTAAATTCATCGGCCTCAATGGTAATTATAATAAAAAAGCTTTTGGACAATATATTATTGGTTGTATGCAAAAAAATTATGAACGAACCTCGTAATAGAGATAAGTTTATATTTTTCATGGTGCTTAAACAAAATAATAAGTGAGCCGAAATCATAATATATACTAATGAACACATTATCAATAAATGATGATCATACCTTTTGGTGGTCCGAAAAGGACAACATCCATAGCCTTCAGGGCAATTTTTTGTTTGTGTATGGGGTCTTTAATGCCTAGGACGGTTAAGTAAGCCGCATTATTGACGGCTAATCTGAAAAAGAACGGAAAACGGTAAGAAAATTATTGTAATTTTTTTGTCGTTTTTATTTTGTTACCGTAGAAGTCACAACAAATTACTATATATGATAGGCATTTAAAAGTACCAGCGAACATTAAATACATTATAGGACATAATTTGCGTTTTTGTATCATTTTTATTTGATTCTCTAGAATTAATTGAATGTTGTTCTTGACTTTCAATCGTGATATCCACTACAATTTATTGATGGTTATGTTGAAATTATTTTCAATTTTTACACAACCAACAAATCCACGAAATATTCTATCCTATTTTTCTTCACATAAAGTTGAACTCTAACTCCTATCATAAAGCTTGAACTACACTCATGGACAAAAATATTGAATATTTTGGAATTTTCTAATTTTTCTTTTTTGAGAATAAATTATGGTCTATCAAGTCGTTTATTATGAAAAAGAGTTTATGTTAACAATGTTTAATGAACAATTTTAAGTTTTTATTCGGAAAAAATTGCGAAAAAAAAATAATGCTAAGGCTAAAAGGTTTTTTTACTTTAAATTTAAATGGTAACTTAAATTGTTTAAACAACTCTTTTAATTGAAACAAGTACATGTTCAGTAACGAGTATTCCCCCTCTAGGTCTTATAACTGCTTGCATCCTTCTCGGCATGCTTGCAAGTAAATTTTGGACATACACTTGGGAAATTGCATTCCATTCATCCTGTGCAGCAAGTTCAAGCTGCCTTATCGTATCTGGAACGAGATTTCTTTGTCGTATGTGGCGTTTTAGCTGATCTCACATGTGCTCTATTGGATTTAAATCCGGACTAAATGGTGCCCAATCCAATGTTTGAATTTGGATCTCATCAAGATAATTACTTACTATGGCAGCGGCATGTAGTCGAGCATTATCGTGCATTAACATGAATCTGTCATATCCAATATAACCAACATATGGCAAAACATGATCTTTCAGGATATTTTGAACCTAAGCGTCACCAGTCATTCGTCCAGTCACTTCCACAAGTGCGGTGCCTCCCTCCCAACTAATACCTCTCCAAAGCATTATGCCACTACCTCCAAAACTAACGGCTGGGCAAGATTGCAGGTGGTGTGAATCGTTCTCCAACTCTTCTGTAGACGTGGTTTCGACCATCTGTCTTATATAATACGATTCTGGTCTCTTCAGTGAAAAGAAAATTTTTCCAGTTGTCGATATTCTAATGAATATGTCTTTTTGCAAATTCAAAATGAAGAGGTTTATGATTTTGGAGAATCCGTTAAACTACAGGGCGTTTAGACTTTACGTTTGCTTTTTTTAATTTTCGTCTAACTGTTTTTGAACTCACATTAACTTGTCTGACATTTGGTAGCTCATTGCTGAGGTGCATCGATGTCAACGAGCGATTTCTTGTAGAACTAAAAACCAAAAACTGGTCATCAATTGCGGTTGTGCATCTTGGGCATCCTTAACCAGGCCTTCGTACAAAATTGTCTGTCTCATGGTACCTTTTTAAAATATTCGAAACTGTAGATTGACTTCTCCTGAGACACCGTGCGATATTTTTTTGTGTATATCCTTCCTCGTAAAAAATATAATCTGTGCTGCTTGGGCTTCATCGCAGTGTCGAATTGGTGGCATATTTGTTTTAAACTTACTTGAATCAAAACAATATTTAATTGAACTTAATAGATTAAACCAAAAATAACAGAATTACTATGGTTTTTCCTTTGAACGAAGGTTTTTTATGATAAAATATACGAATGACACTAAACGCTGAATAAACGTCAAAATTAACGTTTAAATATATCAAACCAATTGAGTACATCAGCCTACTATATGAGTAAAATCAGTAATCTAAAATTATTTTAAAATAATAGTGACTACAAAAAAGAATTGAAAAATTCCAAAATATTCGATATTTTTGTCCATAAGTTTATTAGGATTCTATCAGAATTTAACGAAGGAAATAAATCTAAGATTTTTTATACGACATGAAGATACCTAACTCGAATACTTTTAATAGCATTTGGAGGCAATAATTGTTAAGTCACAATTTAAGATAACTGATTTCCAGTCACAGTTGTTTAAAAAAGTGTGGTAAGATATTGAACTCATTTTATTTTTCTCGTTTATATCACTGTAATGTACCTACCTACTCACATGTAAGATAATTAAAGTATCTATGTATTTCTATATAGTTTTTAGTCACCTGGTATATGTTATTTACAATTATGAAAAGTTCTCATGTATAATCACTAATAATTATTTGTTGTTAGAAATCAGAATCAATACTCTTCATAAATATTTTCCTATTTAGAATAAATAAGTTTCGCTAGTTTATTCGCCTAATACTTCGTATCTATGGAATAATAATAATTTATTTCTCTTATTTCTTTGTTCGATAAGCTATCCGTATTTGCTATTTTAATATTAATATTTGAGTCCAATCTCTTGTACTCAAATCCATCCAGAAACATCGTTAAATAATTGTAGATAACAGAACTTATAAATTCATAGTTTTAAGAAATAACAGGCAGTGTAATTTTCATCCTCTAATATAATAAATTTATACATGTCAATATATTCTGTTTAATTCCAAAACAAAGAGTTAGTCCGGAGAAGAAATAAACGCATAGTATTCCATAACAAAATTTGGTGTCAGAACGTGGGATATTAGTAGCAGAGTTCCTCTGATTGCTGATAGAAGGAGAGCTGAGGAATTTTTGAATTGACTTGTTTCCTTCGAGGAATCATTCAAAAAAAACTGTCAGTGTGGAAAAATCGCCACTACAACTAATTACATTGGGGTCCAGTACATCCAGTTCGAAATCCAGTTCCAGTCATAACCCAATTGTAGTTCCATCGGAAGTAGAGGTGAACCCGTGGAATAATAGACTATGCGACCAACAACAATATTCTACTTGTAAGTACATTCTATCTTAAATTCTGTCTCATATTTTAAAAATCTTGTAAACGTATGTCTACTTTATATCCTGATATAAGTAACTTATTTGACGAACAAATACCTTCTCCCGACTCAAATTCTCTTTCAAATTCTTCTACTTCTAATTCAAATAAAATGTCAGTATCAATTGAAATAGCTGAAAAACTTCTCATTAGATTTGATGGTACAAAATCAAAATTATACGAATTCATAGACAATTGTGATAAAGCATACAATTTAGTAAATCCGCAATCCAAACCCATCTTATTAGCCATTATAGAAACTAAATTAACCGATAAAGCTAGGGCCATAACTAGAAACAGAACATTTGACGAATGGAAAGATTTAAAAGACTTCTTATTAGATGCTTATTCTGAACGCCGAACTGAAGGTCAGTGGCAATTGGAATTACATTCCTTACGTCAGATGCCCAGTGAAAATGTAATGTCATTTGCAAATAAAGTTGAAAATTGCTATATAAAATTAATAAATACACTTGATCCAGACTTATCTCCAGATGCAAGAAATGCATGTACTAAACTCTTAAAAACTCAAGCACTAAATGTCTTTATTAGAGGATTAAACAAAGACCTCTCTATTTTAATCAAAGCCCGAAATCCAGATTCCTTAGAAAGAGCTGTTGCTATAGCAATTGCCGAAGAACAAGAACAGTTATCAAGACAAGAAATTTTCAGACCATTCTGTAATATTTGCAAACGAAATAACCATTCCTCAAATAACTGTCGATATAAAAACAATTCAGATAGAAATGTTAGACATCTTCAAAATTCTAGTTTTCAAAACCCAAAATATCCTAATTCAAATCTTCAAAGGTCAAATTCTCAAAATCAAAATTATAAACCTTCAAATTCAAATTCCAATTCTGATTTTCCTCCAAACTTAAGAAAAGGAAATACCAACACTTCCCAACGTTTTTGCAGATACTGCAAAAAAACCAGGTCACGTTATAGAAGAATGTAGAAAACGCGAATTTAACAATAAAAACAAAAATCCAACAAATTCTTTAAACTTCCAGAATCCTCGACAACCAACGGTCGATTCTCGAGGAGTTCGTTCAGTTCAGGCCGTATCACAACCATCAACTTCTCAGTCACTTCCTATGTAGATTTACCCTTAGTAAATAATTCTAATCCATCCTCTTGCAAGTTTCTAATCGATACAGGCGCAGATATTTCTTTAATTAAATATTCAAAAATACTAAACATTCCAAAATTTATTCTAAGTCTATTACTCTACGAGGCATTGATAAAAATGTCTTAAATCCAAATAAAACTATATGTAGTTGTAACGTAAATTTCAAGATAAAAGATTTTGTCCAAACTCATGTTTTCTATGTCGTAGAAGACGATTTTCCTCTTCATTTCGACGGTATATTAGGTAGCGATTTTTTTGAAATAAATAAATGCCAAATTGATTATAAAGAAAATAAATTAAACTTTAAAAATTGTTCTATTCCAATTGAATATATAAAATTTCCATTAAACAATGACAATGACGAATTTCTGAGAGATCAAAATATCGAGACAAGTTCTAATATCGATGAAATATTTCCTTATGATGCTAAATCCATAGAGGATCATTCTTATTTAGAAACCAATGATATCCAAATAACCTTAAGTAGTGAAGAACTACTATCCAATCCAATTCAATCTAAATCTAACTCTAAATCCAAAGAAAATTCAAGTCCAAAATGTGTAAAATCCACTGAGATATGCACAAATAAAACTTGTAACTCTTCACGAAATCATAAATCAAAATCCTGTTCAGAAGAAAAATCCTGTTCAGACGATCTTATACTAAATCAAAACTCTAATTCTAACTCAAGAAGTAATAAAACTATTCTATCCGCAAGAACTGAAACAATTGTTCAAATTAAAGTAATAAATAATGAATTAAGCGAAGGATTATGTCCCGAACGCGAAATCTTTAAAGGTGTATTTTTATGTCCTAGTGTTGTTAAAGTAAAAAATGATTTCTTTTTAACCTCAATCGTAAACACTACTGAAACGGATGTTGAATTAAACGATATTCAAGTAGCAATAG